CCTCTTTGCCCCACCAAAACCACATAAAAGCAGCCTCAGAATGAGCATCTGGGCCTGTCCTATCTCACGCAGGCCCGCTCTCTTACTCTATGCAGAGTGCATTAAACCTTACTATCCTTTCTTGACTTTGGTCTCTCATCTCACTGTAACTGACTTCCCTGTGGCACCAAGCTGAGTCCTTTCCTTCATAACATTTCCAAAGGCTACAAAAACACTTAACCCAAAAAGATTGCTCACCCATGTTCTTTGCAGCATTATTTACAATACCTAAGACATGGGAACAAGCTAAGGTGAATGGATAAAGAACCTATGTTATATACATATATGTGTGTGTGTGCGCGTGCGTGTGCGTGCTCACACGCATGTGCACGCAATGGAATATTTTTCAGCTATTAAAAAAAACAAGGAAATCCTAACATTTGCAACAATACAGATGGACCTTGAAGGCATTATGCTAAGTGAAATAAATCGGAGAAAGACAAATACTCTCTGTTCTTATATGTGTAATCTAAAAAAAAACTGAACTCATGTAAAAAGAGATCTGACTTGTGGTTATCAAAAGGAGAGGGCTGGGAGAAGGGGAAATGGAGGATAGTGGTCAAAAGGTAAAAACTTCCAGTTATAAGTACTAGGGATGTAATGTACATGATGACTATAGCTAACACTGCTGTACAATACTGTGAAATAATGAGTCATAAGAAATATGTATTTGGTCATCATATAACCAAATATGTATTTCCCTGGTGTATTTGGTCTTCATCCATAGTTTCTGAAAACAGTGCAGTCTTAAAGGTGAAACAGGTGTTTTGTCGTGTTAATGAAAGACTTTTGGATCCCCCACCCAAGGGCAGGGGCTGGAGGCTGAATCAGCCAAATGCCTGTAATTTAGTCAATCATGACTATGCAATGAAGCCCTCACAAAACCTTGAGAACTAACCACTCTCAGCTCTCAGATCTGACCTGCTTGGTTGGATCCTGCTTCTCAGTAAGAGAAAGTTTCTAAGCTTGGGAAACCAGAATGCCTTCATGTGCCACCAAGCCAGGCCCCAAGCCCCACAGGGATAGAAGCTCCTTTATTTGGGACCTTGTCCTATCTATCTCTATATGGCTGTTAACTTGTATCCTTTAAGGTATTATTTATTAAGCTGGTAAACTTTAAGTGTTTCTTGAGCTGTGAGCCACTCTAGCAATGAATCGAAGGGGCAGGTCATGGGAACCTCCAATCTGTAGCCAGTAGGTCAGAAGCACAAGTTAACTGCCTGGCGCTTGAGACCGAAGTCTGGAGTCGAGGGTGGAGGGCAGTCTTGTGTTACAGAGCCCTTAATCTGGGGAATCTGGTGTTAGCATCAAAATTGAGTTGAATTCATTAAAACCCTCCTCCTGTTTGAGAAGTGCTTGGTGTTATGTGTGGGAAGACTTCGGAATCAGGTCCAAGAACTCCAATGGAGTTATGCTATTATTACAGCTGTGTATAATATATATATATTATACACATATATAATATATATATGTAGGAAAAAAATACACCATTGCATTTAGTGTCAGAGGAGTGGGATTTATAGAAATAAAGGAAAGCTGTTAAGAGTGTAAAACCTATGATTCCCATCACAAGGAGAATATTTTTTTCCCTGATGGGCATTAAAAAAGATGGATATTTAGTTGACTCTACTGTTGTAATTATTTCACAACATATGTACAAACCATCATATTGACTTAAACTTTACACTTATACAGATAGTGATTGTCAACTATTTCTCAATAAAACTGGAAAATCTCAAAAAAAGCAATAAAACATTTTTAAAAACAGGCTCTATATATAGAAGGGTATATATACAAAAATATCTCAGATTATAAAATAAAATTATTAGTTGCAGATAAAAGTGACTAGAATGTCAACAACTAAATGGAGTACTTATGAGTTATTTTTAACATCTTTATGTTTATCTGTATTTTCTGACTTCTTTATAATTTATATGAATCAATGTTGTTTTAAAATTATAATAAGTATCTTTCTTAATAATGCCTTTTTAATGTAATTTTTAAAAGCTTGGACTTCTGAATCAGAATGACTGCAACAGAATCCCATTCTGCTACTTAACTGTCTATGAGCCTGAGAAAGTTATTTAAGAACTCTAAGGTTCAGTTTGCTCATTTGTAAAATAACTAATAACCACCAAAGAACTGCAACTTAAAACTACAATAAGCTACCACTAAATACTCACTATAGTGACTAGATTCAAGCTACAGACACTATCAGAACTGTCAATCATTTTTTAGCAGGAGTGTAAATTTGTACAACCACTTTGGAAAACAGTCTGGCAGTATCTACTTAAGTTAAACAAATGTATACAGTATGACTAAGCACTGCCAAAAGAAATAAGTATACATGTTAATCAAAAGAAATACATATAAGAATATCCACAGCAGCATTACTGATAACAGCAAAAAACTGTGAACAATTCAAATGCCCTTCAACAGCAGAATGGATAAACCAAGTGTGGAATATCCCAATGGAATACTACACAATAACAAGGGATATGAAATGCTGATATATACCAGAACATGGATAAATCTCTAAAAAATAAAACAGTCAAGAGTTTGGAGAAAGAAACCAGACACAAAAGGGTCTATATGATTGTGCTAGAAATATTTTGTATCTTGATCTGATGATTACCTAGGGAGTCACATTTTTTTAAAAAATTCTTACTACTATACACTTATGCACTTTTCTGTAAGTTACATCTAAAAAAAACTGAGGCTAATAATAGTACCTATCTTAACAGTGTGAGGATGAGACAAAAATAACTGCTAACATTTAAAGACAGCACATTCCATGTGCTGAGCACACTTTTCTAAACATTTAATCATCAAAATAATCACATCATGTAGGTAGTATTATTTTACAGATGAGGGGACTGTGACAGGTAAAAGATCGTTTATCTAAAGTCACTTAACGAGTAAACAGTGAGTAAAAACAGTCAAGCTTCAGATGCAAAATTTAAACTGCAACAATAAATTGCCTCAGTAATAAATGAAAACTCTTAACACAGTACCTGGGCCAAACAAAACACAAAATGTTATTAGCTATTAGTACTACTACCACTATCATTATTAGGATTAACTTAAAATATTTCTCATTATAACACTCAAAATACTCAACACTATGGTAAATACACAAATCTATATAATTGTATCTATGCTCCTAGTTTATTCTAACAATACTGTACAAGTGAGACCATAAATAATTTGAAATATATAAAGCAAGCCACTATACTCTTCTCACAAATCACAAAGGTCCAAAGATTATATCCATTCATGTTTCCACAGATATGATTCATACTTTTAATTTATACTGAAAGAAAAATGTATATGCTAAATAACACCTTGAAAGATCTTTAGGAGTTAAAGTTGCAAAAGAAAAAATTAATTTCAAAAAACAGCGGTTTAATCTACATTAACAGATAGAGGCAAAGCTTCAAATCTCCATACTAACAACCAACGAATATATTAAATTTCTTTTAAAGTTATTTCTAAAATTTCTTTTAAGTTATTTCTAAAATTTAACTGATGAAATGCCTGTGTAGAAATCACTTATTGAAAGTATGTATTGAGCAGTAACAAACGGAAAATACCAAATGCTGTATGTAAAAACAATCTCTCATAAACCCAACTACTCAAATATAACATTTATGTATTACTTTCTTCTTTCCTTGCACAATACAATATACCGGGTACAGACCAGATGGTATCCTTTAACAGTATAGAAGACTGGATGTTCTGATTAAATAGACTACCTCAAAAATCTAGTTCAACCTGCTTCTACATGGTTGTTATACCTTGGAGACATAAACTGACCTGTCTCCCAAAAGAGATAGATAAGAATCTCCGGACAAAACTTAACAGTCCTATAAAGTTCACATGTCTCATACTAAACCTGTTAGTCTAGCTTGTAATACCTTGCCGATGACAGAAAGTTAGTACTTAGTTTCCACTCTCTTAAGGACGCCACTTCTTCCACACTCCTACAACTTACCCTCACAAAGCACATTTTCCAGTAAAATAGTAATGGTTATTTACACCTAATATTATATAAACCCAGAATCAACTAACGAGAAAACAAAGTGGCTAAGGAAGAAACCTAACTTCAACATAGCCACAGAAAATGGTTACCTTCGACCAAAATTAGGTTACCTAATTCTTGGTGAATGTTTCCCCGTTCCTGTCCGTGGGGATCAACCCGGAGAGTAAGAATGGTTCCATGTTAAAGTAACCGAGAAAAAGCTACTACAAACGCTGTCCCTGACAAATGTCTCAGACTTATTTCCACCAAAGCAAATCTGGAAATAATTCAGAAGGAAATCTTCTCTACTACCTATTTCATCGTTACCATTTCTAGAAATAGCAAAATGAAGGAAATCTACACGTTTATTTCAGGGACAGAACCTTCCGATTTCGAAATGTCATCTGAATTTACCAATTTTAGCTTTCAGGAATATTCTATAAAGAATGTTGAGGCGGGTGTTATTTTGGTTTCTGGCTTCGGTTCAGAGGATCTTTACCACAGTCTGTGTTTACCAACATCACTTCAGAGCCGGCCTCGCCTCTGAGGCCGAGTGGGCGCGGGCGGGGGCCGGGGAGCCGGCCTGAAACTGCGGCTGCAACGGGGCCTCGCACCCTCCCCCGTCCGCTTTCCCCGTGCGTTCTCACATTGGGCTGGGCGCACATCGATGATGGAGATGCCGGTTTTCAGAAAAGACTGAGCCCGGCTGGCTTAGGAGACGAGGCCTTCAAAAGGGGGCACTTGCGTCCACCCATGGCCCACCCTCATTTCCGGACCCCGACGCTCGGCAGGGTTCCCCGAAGCCGCTCTTCCCACAGGCCTCGCACCCGGCCCCAAGCACAGCACCTGCGCAGCCCAGGCGGGCTCCACACAGCGAAACAACACGGGCCCGCGTCCGCAGCTCCGGAGAGAGGCTCTCTGCCGCCGGCTGCGAAGTTACCTGTTGAGGAGCAGGGAGGCGACGCTCAGGCAGAGCAGCAGGAAGCAAAACAGCGGATACTGGCGGCAGACTTCGCGTCCCACGTCCAGCCGCAGCCTCTGCTTCAGCTTCTTCCCCATCGCACGCGCCCAGGACACCATCTCCGTTGCTGTGACTGCAGCTGAACAAAAAACTGAGGCTGAGGTCAGGCGACACGCATCAACCCGGCGCCTCCGCCCCGCCGACCTGGCGGCGGACGCACACAGCCGCCCACCGGCGGACTAGGCGCCCGCGGCTGCCGCCCAACGCTCCGCCCCAGGCGCCCGTCGCGCGTGCGCGTGCGCGGACCTAGAGCACTGCCGTAGTACGTACGGGAAGTCGTCATCCCGCGCGAGCGCCCTCGCGTGCCTGAGGCCGGCACTCCGCGGGGGCGCTGAATCCACAGAGACCGGCCTTTTTCCGAAATCCAGGGAAAGCTGCAGCACCCAGTAACCGCCTGTATTGCGGAGGAGAGAGAAGAGGTTATGCCCGAGCACAAGGATAACTACAGTACCCCACAGCTAACAGGCCCCGCTACAGGGCACCCCGAGCTCGCGGCGCCCGCTGGGGACTGTAGTCTCTGTAACGCGAGCCCGTGGAGCGCTGGAGCGTAGGGCCGTTCCCCTACCGCCGTCCACTCCTCACCGTCGGCTCAGCTGCGAGTGGAGACACGTCCGTGCTTTGAGCGACTCCCCAGGGGGAGGAGGGAGGGACGTCTCTGAATCCTGATTTTGCGGGTAGGGGCGGGGTCCCCGGGTGAGTGAAGCACTCTAGAATACGGAGGAGTCAAACCCTGGGGGTCGCCACCCCTGCGAGAAGGAACTTGGAAACTCAATGGCAAGGTGGAACTCAGTTCGCAACAGCCTCAAAATCCAAGTGTTTGGATTGGCAGGTTAGATTAAATCCGTTCGCTTACTAAATTATCGCATTTCTGAATTTTAATTTCCGAATACTCGACACTGAAAGATGCCCAAGACCTCATACGAGTAAGTAATGTCTTTAGGCGGCGCTCTTCAGCACTTTTCATTTAACCTTCACACATTCACCTCAAGTAGGTTCTCTGCTTTCTATCATTTTATAGCTGGATAAATGAGGTGCAGGGGAAATTGCTCAGAATCCTATTGCTAGCGAAACCGGGATTTGAAGCCCTTCTAATCCCTGAGGCAGCGCTCCCCTGTCGCCTATTATCTTCTCTCTCTTCCCTAGGATCCCAAGGTATGGAGACAGACATATTCAGAAATTATTAAAAATACAGACCCATGATGTATGCACAGTTTCATGAATATTTCTGAGTATAAGAATCATTTTTAATGATGTATTACTTCAGAATACACCATCTTTTAATGCTAATTTCATTGATATTATAAGGTTTATTACCATCCTTGATCATAAATCTATACAAATTTCTAACTAGGATTAACATCAATACAATAGCTAGGTCAAATGGCTGTCAAATTTCTCCGAGAATGGCTTACCAATTCCAGTGGTATATAAAAGTATCCACTTCACTGATCCTCATCATTAGTTATTTAACACAAGTATGCTATACTATTACTGTTTAAAATACTGTGTAATATCGTAAAGCTTAGTGTTTTTAAAAATATTTTGAGATACACATTTCAGCCTTTTATTTAGGCATCTTTGAATTATCTATACATAACCCTTAGTTTATAGGAACATTCCAGGGCTATACTAAAGTATAAATAAAAGGTGTATGTTAACATACACATGCATCAAATGTCTGCTGTGCACTTGAGTACTTTTATACTTGGGTAAGTTACTTCATTAAACTTTTCTCAAGAAGTTTTTTTGCCGATATTTTTTTTTCTCTGTCTTAAGAATTTTGCTTCCTTCAAGAGCTATTCTGAAATTACTGTTCAACTTTTCACTGAAAGCCAGTACATTTTAAAGATACAATGCTTTGTTTTGTTCAAATTAGACCTTTACAAACTAAGACTTTTCTCCTTATCATTTTACTAGGGGCAATCAGAATAAACTAACCAGGCAATAGGTAATTTAAAATTTCATATTGCTCTTATGCTCAGAAAAAAAATTTTCCACCATGAGAATTCTTTAAAAATCCACAGACATCTAATAAAATGCCTTTTATTTCATTAAATGTTTTCTATTTAATCTTTATGGTCTATTATCCACTCACACTCACACAGAGCTTGAAAAATATTTTTCCCACCTTTTATTAAAAGTTTTGAACTTCCTAGCAGATATGAGATACCCACAATTCTTATTCTGAAACCAGCTTCACCTTCCACTAACAGCATTACATTGAGCAAGGTTAACTTGATCTCAACCTCTGAATCAACTCTAAAATAGGTATACCCTGTGCAACTTTTAGTGAAGATTAATTGGATGGAAAATCCCTATTAAATGTGCCCCATACAATGCTTGATACAAAAAGATTTTATGGATTTATGAATGTGACAAAAATCTGCCTAACCAGTTAGCTGTGCTTGGATAACCTAAAATGACAATGATACCTTACAGGAAACAGAACCAACAAGGTATATTGCCTGCCTTAAAGTTGTAGTCCTGCACTATCCGATACAGTTGGCTATTGAGCACTTGATATGTGGCTAGTTTGAATACATGTGGCTCCAAGTGTAAAAAATACAGCAGATGTTGAAGACTTAGCATGAAAATGAATATAGCTATTTACATTTTTTAAGACATGTTAAATGACTATTTTGAAAGTAATGGGCTAAAAAACATTAATCTCATGTTTCTTCTTTCTTCTGCAATGTGGCTACTGGAAACCTGAAAATACATATGTGTCTTGCATTCTTGTTCTACTAGACAGTGCTGCTACAGACTAACGTTAGCCATGGAGAGCTGGTATGATTAAATGTGTAAAATTTAGATAAATGCCAGTTACCACATGTGCTAGGGGTACATTTTCAAACTATAAAAGGTAAAAAAATAGTTGATAATGCACTCACCTAGGGGGCTCATAAACATCAAACTACAATCCAGTATCTCCATTATGAGTATTTATTGAATTAGCAAATAAGTGTAAGGCACTGTACTAGATGTGGTGGCAGATACAATGATTTAGATGCATTTTTCTGACCTCCAAAGGCTTACAATCTAGTGAAGGAGACATGTCACAAATGTAAAGTAATATATAATACAGGGCTTATTTATATTTAAAGGCTCTAAGTTTTTTAAAACAGGTGATGGGAAAGGAAAATTTTCAGCTGATGAGGATGTGGGAAGACAATGAGCAAAGAGTAGATTTATCCTTTCCTTTCACTTAATTTTCAGAAGTCATGCAGCAGTAGGCAATGTTAAGTATTTAAAATGCTGTTACCTAATTAAACCTGATCATCCCTACCCCACAGCAAACTACAGAAATTGCTCTTTATGTTGGCACAGGAATTTGAAAAGATGGTGTTGATACCTGAATCTCAGTAATTGGGCCTACTTAACTTTGAGGACCCAATAAGTATATATACCAAATTTTAACTGTTGAGGGCCATTAATTGTATGCATGGCATGCGTTTATCAGGAAGAGGATAGATGAATATATACATACACACTACCCCTCAGCTATTTCAGTCCCTCTCTCTCTGATACCTCCTATAACTTGGAGCGTATCTCCTATCACAGAGGATTGACACTTCCAAAACTATTTCTCCCTATGTCTCAAAGCACCAAAGTTCATATTTTACCTTTTGTGATATGTCTTTTTAGTCTCAGTTTTACATTTCATAATATCCTCTTCTCCCCACAACCTATCTCTATATAACCACCTCTGGATATAAAACCTATTAAAGGAACTACCAAACTGCCTTTCTATTTCAAGAAATGTTCCTTTCCTTGGTTTTCAAAACAGAAACTCATTACAATGAAGAATATGTAATTCAAAAAGCATTAAGGGATTTTTATTGGTGGGAGTTTGAGATGTTCAAAATGCGGTTGTTACTTTCATATTTAATCCCAACCAGCCCCCCAACCCTTTTTTTGTGTGTGTGGCCATGAGATAAAACCTCCAATGGGAAGATAAAAACAGTTGCAACTTTATACAACCAACGGTTCAAACACATCCTCTCTGGATAAAAACCTGTTTTTGACCATGAAACTCTGGATGGTCTTATTATCTGAGCACCAGAAAATTAAGCTGAAAATATACTCACATGCCTGTTGATAAATACTAAAGATTGGAAAAGGCACTTATAATCTGATTGTAACACCTCCATTACTTGTATAAAATGGCCAATGTTTTTAAAGTTACCTTTTAAATAACATTCCACCTTGTTTCTTATGTGCCTATAAAGATAGTGACTTCCTTTCATTAAAAAGAAAAATGCAAACTATTTTCAGATGTTTAAATAAATATACCTTTCAACTAACATCAGTAACTTCTGTTTTTTGGAAAAGCTTCGCAATCCTTCCCTTAACTCTCAATAGGCTATTTACTAAAATATTTTTTAAAAAGCACTTTGAGAGGGTATCTATAAACCACTATGCAACAAGGCTTGGGTCAGAAGTGTGAAATTCACTAATATTGTACTTCAATTCCAATTCTATTATGGCTGCGACCAAATAATTAAAATCAACTTTTATCTTCACAAAAAAACTTTTTCTGTTTTGGTAAGCTGATTCTAGCTGTAAGAAAACATTACAGTATATCCAAAGTAGAAACCTCAAGATAATTTTGGAAATTGTTATTTTTAAAAATTTACTAGAAAGTTTTCCCTATATACTGATAGTTACCATTTAAGTTTCTTTAGCTCAGATGAACACCAGATTTTAAAACAATCTGAATTTTGAGCATTAACATAAGGTCTATACTCTTCAATTTTGAGTTCAAGATGAACCCTTATTTCTTCATACCCCAAATGTTCAGACAGCAGTTCTACATTTTTTTAAAGCATATTATTAAAAAGATTATCTCATTTGCACTTATTTCTTGAGGCTAAGCAGAAAGCTTCTCCAGGAATGTTCACAGAAATATCCTATGGCAGGATTGAAGCAATTTTTGTACTGCTTGAATTAAAAAACAATATCCCTATCTAAATAGTCCTTTTCATGTACTGGGTTTTCAAACACTGATAACACACCATGTATTACTCTTAAACTGGTTGAATCCTATTTACATTTCAAGCTCTGCCAACTTTACATAGCTTTATTTTTATCCACTGCATAAAGCAACATATGAAATGATTATTGATCATGGTGGAAAATGGCAAATCGCAATTACCACACACATTATTGGCAGAAAATGAATTTGAAGGGTAGAAATAATGATGAACATAATTTAAATGATTCTGAAGATTCTTCTTGCAACTACATAGAAAAAACAGTCACGTTACCAGGTGTTTTGAAACCATGGTTTTGTTCCCCAAATTACCTTTAAGCAGGAGTGATTTTGATTTTTCACTCATATAAATAGCTGTTATTAACCTGTAACACAAGCAATAAAGAAAAATCAGCTAATAG